AGGCCGGGTTTACGTTCAAAACAAGATCATAGCTATTTTTATTGGATTTTAAAGCGTAATTCGTAAAATTTATCCAATGCTTTACTAAAAATAACAACTATTCCAAGCTAATTGTGTAACAGCGTAAAGAAAAAAATTTAGTTTCACCTTCTTTATAAGATGTATTTCATTAATTTCACACAATTTTGCAAGGTACGTATCACTCTTACACTGGAAAAAAAAACACATTGGATCTAGAGTCCATCAGACTCTTGAGAACACTGACAAGAAAAAATACTCTTGATTCAATCGGATTTTTGCTTAAATCAAAACGAAATCCGCTTAAATTAAGAGGCTTGGTTCTCGATTTAAGCTAGATTCCAATTGAATCAAGATAACTTTTTCTTGTCGATGTTTTTAAGAGTCTGGACTCTAGATCCAATGTGTTTTTTTTTCTTCCAGTGTATGTTGAGAATTGTTCTCAGACTCACAAAACACACCAACTATGCAAACTCAACGTGAAAGTTGTGATATTTTGCACGTATAAAATTATCAAAACGCGGTGCAGAAATTACTAAACTGTAATCCCGTACTTACTTACATACACTCATACGAAAGTGAGTGAAGTAAAAAAAAATCCAATTTTAAGCCCCTCCCGCCACATATTAATCCCGCGCGCCTTTGGTCGGTAAAGTTTTTTTAAAAAAAGTAGAAAAAACCAAAAATTAACTTAACTGCTGTGACATTCTTCCTAGCTGTACTTTAAATGCGCTAATTCAGATGATGTGTTATGATAAAACAAAATCCCATTCTCTTGAAATACATAAATGAGGACTTATCTGTAACAATAAGCGGATGTGAAAAATTACCTTTTCGAAACAAGCTTAAAAAACTGTTTTGTTCACACAAAAATTTAATATCTTTGGCTCTGGCATAATGTGCAGATCCCGAAGATCACATCTCAAGTATTTTCTCAAAATTTTTTCGATGCCAAAACAGTTTTTTGAATGTGTTTCGGAAAGGTAATTTATCACATCCGCTATTGTTACAGATAAGTCCTCAAATAATGATTTAAATAATCGGCGATTTCAACTAATGAAAGCGAAATGAACACATTTTGTTGATTGTCTCGATCGCAAGTAAGTAATTACTGGTTTGGTGATCCAACTGCAATAAAAACAGAGGCTGGGTCAATGGTCGGCGCTGAGCGCATGCAGGTGATGTGACAGTGCCCCCACAATATATGCGGCTAACGGCACAGCTCATGGATCTAACGCCACTGTATAAACAATGCACCATGAACATACCGTGAATAGTCTATTGGCCGTTGCCTGATTGCGGCTCGTTAAACGGCATCATGATGTGGATGGCTAAAATCATGAAATAGACGCAATGCCATGTTTCAAAATGTCCAAATTTAGGTCTACAGAGCAGTAAATCAGACTTACCGCAGGTTCTGACTGACTTTCACTTAAGGTGATTCGTCAAGCTCAAGTGACGTGGTCGAAATGGCATGCGATATATTGCATTCCAGTTCGACCACTTCTTTTGAGCTTGACGAATCACCTGAAGGGATCTCTTTTTTCCCGGCAGCTTCCATGGAAGTTAGGGTGATTCGAAAAAAATTTGCCGTCTTGAATTTTGGTTCCTAGTAGAAATTCTAGGCGAAAAGGGACAAGTATAGAGCTGGGAAAAGTTTTGTGTGAATACGTTAATTTTTGGAGGGTGCGCACCCCCGTTCTGCGGACAAAATTCGTGATTTTTGTATTGTGACTTTTAGACACACGTGACAAAAAGTGACAATACGAAAAATCACAGCGAATCGACCCGAATTTTTTCTCAGCTCTATTCTTGTTACCTACCGTCCCTAGTTTCTACCGGGAACCAAAATCCGTGACCGAAATTTCCCTTCTGCAGCACCCTTACTTCAATGGATGCAAGTAATGTGGCAAGTATGTTAAGCGCGGGCGAACGGACTCGGGGAGCCTGATAGAGCGCCGGCGCCGGGTCCTAAACGGAAATATGCTCATTACTCCATGCTCTTTTTTTCGCGGTTGGAGCTCCCAAGCCCCGCCGCGCGCCGCGCCACTTTCCGTGCGATGCGCCCGACTAGTCACATGCATAAATTCCCAGCCGGGGTGATACGAGGTTCTTCACAACTTCGAAAGACGACCGACGAAAACTTCTACAGAAATTCGAAAAAAAAATACTTAAACTCGAACGTAACGCTTCGCTCAACCCCCCCCCCCCCCCNGTAACGCCGCATAACGCTGGCGAAGTTTTTGACGACCTTCAGGTCACGCTCAGATATTTGCGAACACAATGCAAACAATTATATCAGCAGAATATTCGTTATATAGTTTCACCCGAAATGAGCTGCAAAACCGGGTTTGTGCGCTGATTGATTTCATTAATGATAGGGTAAGTCAATAACGTAACACCAGTTTCGATGGTATCCGTGCACCGTTTATAAAAATTAATATTTGGAGCGGACAGGTAATCGTCCGGATTACGCGGCGCGGGCCGGAAAGACTTGAGCTCAATCCCTATTGTTTTAGGTTTACGTAATGCGAGACGCCGCGTCAAGGCATAATCGAACCATATCAAAATCCATGATTCCTGATATTCAATTTATGATTAATCGATTCCAACCGGTTCATTGCAAGAGATTGCCCATCAAAAGTGTGGGTGCAAACAAGCGTTCAAAGTGATTACTAGCTGTGAAATTGGCGATCGTTTAAGCAGGCCAACATTTTTGCTTAGGACCATTCTGCCGTGCTAAGGAAGAACGCCGTATGAACATTCGAGAATCGCTAAATTTCCCAGGATAAAACATGTATTTTTGACTAAATTTTTGTATATTTTTCCTTAAAATTTTATAGAAAGATATTTAGAATAAATTGCGAACAAAATAGTCTGAAAAATCAGGTGAAAAATATTTACAATTTACACAATAAATTCGTATCTAATCAGAGGAAATTTGGTACCGCCTGGGGGTTCATACGGCGTTCTTCCTCAGCATCTGACACTTATGCTCTTCGGAAAATCTCTTGAAAATAATGGAAAGGAAAGGCGCTTTAAAAGTAAGTAATATTTACACCACATAGAACACCGAAGTCAATCAAATCCATAGTTATTGGGCGGGGTTTTTTTTTTTTGGGGGGGGGGAGGGTCAACGAAACTGTAAAAAGTAGTTTATTTATAATTTGATACTCTCAGATCTTGCACGAGCACCAGTTTTTCGCCTTCACCCACATTCCTGCACATCGTTTGTCCCGGGGTTTTAGACTCACGAGTGTTGCGATGTTTTTGTACTTTTCATTTAGTAAAGAAACCAAACCAGATCCAATACGTTTGATGAGAGCTATCAAAGCATCAATAACAAAACTGCGAAACGAGAAGCGATAGACGAGCTTTTGAGTTCGCCTTCGTTCACGCTCGATACCACTTCAACTGCTTCTGGGAGATCTTTCCTCCCCGCCCAACACGAAATATTGCAGCAATATTGCAGCAATATTGTCAACATTGAAACAATATTGTCATGTAAATATTTCCTTAAATACACTGCAGAAATATGTTGACAATATTGCTAAAATATTTCATGACAATATTGTAACAATATATTTATAAAAATGTTTTAAATATATTTACAAAATATATTTATGTAATTACTTTTAAAACAGTTTGTAAATTATATTTACAAAATATTTTAAAATTATTTTAGAAATATTAGTTTAAAAATATTTGTTTAATATTATGTTAAAAATATTTTATAAATATTTTTGTAATATTTAAAAATTAATTGCTAAAATGGCAAAAAATGGTTTGCGATTTCTGCAATTTGCTTTTTTTGCTAAAATGCTCACCCTCGTGGCGAGAACGACAAAACAATTTGCAAAAGTGGTAATTTTATTGTGCGAAAATGGCACTATACTTTTGCGAAATTAACATTACTAGTTTATGCTATTATGGCTAAAATTTTTGCTAGATTTTCAAAATGTTTGCCAAATTAGCGTATGGTTTTGCTCTGTTTACCAATTATTTTGCTTGTTTATCAATCGCTAGAAAAAAAGGGGGGGAAGAAAAGACAAAAAGAAGGGAAAAAAATAAATAACATAACATAAATACATCGACATAAATTCAAACTAGGAAAAAGCTCAAATAATTAAAACTGGAAAAAGACGCAATTATAAAAAACAGTAATTTGGTAAAGAAAAAAATGAGAGAGAGTTAAAAAAAACGAAAATTTGTAATACATGAATAGGAATATGTTGAGTACAATTAATAAAGAATTTGAAACACAAATTACAGGATGAAATAAAAAATAATAAATAAATAATAAATAATAAATTCTGGTAAAATATTATAAGAATCCGTCAACGAACAAACATATTACGGACTCAGAGGCCTGCGATAGTTAAGAGATTGAATTTACGGGCCCTCTATATCAAGCCTGGCTGGTCTGGTGATAAAGTACTGGACTTCGGATATCAACTCCACCCCGAGGCGTGGGTTCTAATCCCGACTAGGACGGCGCGGATTTTAAGGTCAGTAACAACTCTACGATCCACAACCTGAACGCATGTGTACACATTAGAAAGAAAATTAGTACCAAAGACGTCTCCTAGAGTGCGCGCACACGGATATGCAATATGATAACCTCATCGCAAGTAAATATTTTTAAAATATATTATCAATATTACCTTGACAATATTGCTGCAATATTGTCAGGGGGGCGGACAACAAACTATTGCAGCAATATTATTTCGATATTGTTAAAATATTGTTAAAATGTTTTTGACAATATTTCAGCAATATTTTTAAAATATTTCCGTGTTGGGCGGGTCCTCACCGCAATAAATGATAACAAATCGTCCTCGCTTGAACGACTTTTGCAAGAAAAAAAGTCGCTCGAACATTTACAACTACGTCAATTCCTGCACTTTAATAGCAAAACATGTTTTAAAAAAGGCATAAAAAGCAACGATCATGCTAGTTTTGGAAAAGCAATGCTGACTCACCACTTTGGCTTGAGTTGAGCTAGAGGTGACATTTGTACTTGTCTGACTGTCTTGACTACCAGGTGGAGAAAACATCCTCCTATGAGCACGTTTGAATTCTTGCATTAACTGTTCGTGTTGGATCACCTTCTCTTTGTCAAAGTTCGATCTCAACTTCTCTAACTTGCCGCCTTTTTGGGGTGGCTGATCCACACTAGCTGGATCACTGGCTTTCCGCTAGATATACAAATGACGAACATTAGTGAGTTATAATACAGTATCGGTCAAGAAATAATCAATTTTTTACTCCGAATATTTCGCAGTTTCGACAGCATAATATTAGCATGGCAAACATATTTAACCAAGCACAAAAATGTTAAAGGAAACTTTATGTTAATTTCATTAGATAGTTGTCTTTCTTTTAAAAAATCAATGAGAAGACAAAGATTTACCTAGTTTTTTTCTTTAAAAAAGAAAAAAAACCTTCTCAAGTAGCATTGAAATTAATTGAAATTAAAGAAACAAGTTCTTGCAAGTTCATATAGGAGTGTGGTGAATGTTGTCTACACACTAATTGAAGCGGCTTCTTCCATTGTAAACTTCACTCTTTATACTTCACTAACTTCACTAAACTTCATACTTGTAAACGCAAGTTTTGTTTCAATCAATATGAAAATTCGCCCAAAATTTTGCAAAAGACACACTATATACTGTAAATACATTTTTCTGTGTTTTATAGACTGTAAGAAGGGGAACTGCACTTACCTCTGATCTCCTTTGTATCTCTTGACTAATGGCACTACTGAGGCTAGTCATACTACTACCAGAAAATGAGCTCCCTGAAGAACTTTTATCTAAATACTTATTATTTTGATTTCTCTGGAAACAAAACGGAAAAAATCAATGAATAAGATTAAGTATCATATGCAGCGATTAAATCAGAATGAACGTCATCTTTGAACCTTATGTAAAATATATTGCGAAAAAGGTTCAACGAGGTTGCGAATAACACTGGAAAAAAGTCGCTTAAATCTAGAGACCAGACTCTTGATAAAATTGACAAGAAAAAACACTCTTTACTCAATCCGATTTTTCCTTGATTCGAAGAGCCGAGCCTCTTGAGTTAAGCGGATTTCCTTTGGATTCAAGCAAAAAGTCCGATTGAATCGAGAGTATTTTTTACTTGTCAATGCTTTTAAGAGTTTGAACTCTAGCCCCAACTTTTTTTCACTTTTTTCCACTGAATTAGGATAAATAGAAGAGGAAAGGGGATCATCCCGATGAGTACTTTTATGTGCAAGTTGTGGAAAATTAATGTACCCAAAAAATGGTAATTTTGCTTCTTGAGTAAAGAGAAACAATGTAGATAAGAGCAGAAAATGCTCGCTGTTATTTTTACGTCCTACTTCAAAATGGACAACTTTGTGTGAATCGGCAGAACTTTTCCCACTGATTACAATACCCGTTGTCTGCCTAACCGAAGCAGCGAGCCGATTATTGAAAATTTAAAGCAGCTAGGTAAGACATCGAAATGCGAGGAATTCACGTTTAAGATAGGGCTATTCTTGCCTTGTCGGGCCGACAAAGTTTCAATAATCGGCCCGCGCCGCGCTGTGGCGTTCTACTTCAGCAGGGCTCTAGATGTAGCGGGAATGCCGAAAAAATGTTTCATTTCAAAATGAGGTGGGCAAAGTTTTCCCGATGCAATGATACCTCCTGATCCTAAAAACGGCGTCTTAAAAAAGTAGCGTCAAGTGAATACTTACTGCAAATATTCAGTATGCCCGGAAACACTCTCAGGTTGCGCAAAAAGGGTAAATCGTCAAATGAATATTTAACGGAAATATTCAGCAATAAAATTCGGGCCACAATTTACGCGCAAAACCAGAGGGTGTTTCATCATCATGCAATCATTTGATGTAGCCGGAAATGCTGAATATTTCCAACAAGTATTCACTTGACGCTACTTTTTTAGTCGAAATTTTTCGGGATCAAAGGGTGTTAACGCATTGGCAAAACGTGGTCTGCTTCATTTTAAATGAAACATTTTTTGGCATTTTCACCACGAGAACCCGATTGCAGTAAAACGTCCCAGCTTCGGTTAATCAAACTAAGGGTTCACAAAATTCGGAGGAAAAATTTTGTCGACTTTAAAACATTTGCTCAGTTTGAAGCGAGACACTGAAACGACAACGATTTCCCGGACTACCCAAAGAAACACTGCCGTGCTAAGGAAAAACGCAGTATGAGTCTTCTGACGATACCAAGTTTCCTTCGATAAAAACCGAATTTACTGGGATACTTCTGAAAATTATTTTATGAAATTTTCAGACAATTTTGTACGCAATTTAATATAAAATATCTGAAAATTTTATGGGGGAATATGCAGAAATTCTTTCAAAAATACATGTTTTAACATGGCAACTCTCGAATGTTCATACGGCGTTCTTCCTTAGCACGACAGAACAGTGATCGCGATAAGTTACGATTCGATCGGAGAGCCCTGGTAAAAATTGGCGATAGGAGCTGCGTTTCAAAATACCATAGAAGTTCTTATAGCCGACTGAAGAAGGCGATAGAAAATCATATGGCTGGCTATAGAAAGTGGAAAAAATCATACGGCCGGGCTACACGAAGTGATAAAAAATTATACAGCCGGGCTGTAGTTCTTATCGCCGGGCTTTACACTTTATCGCCTGGCTGTTGCTTTTTCGCCATTGGCTATAAAATGCTATAAGAAATAGTGTAGAAATTCGTGTGCTTTGTAAATCCTTAAGTTTTCTACGGAATCACCTTAATATTTACAAAACGCACATTATTTCCTTTACTACATATATTTTTTTTCATCAATTAAAATGAGAATAATCCATACAGAGTGTGCAAACATTTCAAAGTTATGAGTTGAAAAACGCTGACTCCACGAGATTAAATATTAGAGCCTAACACAAAGCGGAGCGGCGGCGCACTGGCGCCTACAAACCTAACAGGGATACCTCACGCATTGCGCAATGCGTGAAGTATCCCTGTTAGGTTTGTAGGCGCCAGTGCTCGTTTTGAGCTGGCTGCCCGCCCGCCGCGCCGCAGCGTACCACGGCGCTTGAAGCAGCTATTTCACACTAGAGGTATTGCACAGTATCATACGAAATTGAAGGCGTTCCAACATATTAAGAATGGCAGGCATCCTTCAAAAGTACGGAGCTTTCCTCGCAAAATACATCAAGATACTACGGCCCAAAAAGAGAACGGTAGTTCAAAAACTCACTAAGTCCTAGCATCCGTAATTAGTAACGTTTAGCATACACTTTATCGCCAAGCTCTTGCTTAATCGCCATCGGCTATAAAAGGCTGTAAGAAATTGTGTTGCCGGCTATAGAAGCTATGGAAATCTTACAGCCGGCTGTAGGGAACACAGATTCTATTGCCGATTTTTACCAGGGAGTGTATCATAATTTTATCGATGTCGATTTATTTCAATATTACCGGATAAAGCATTGCGATTTCCTCACAAAAACATAGCAATAAAATCGCGACTTTCTCGACAGCGATTTACGTCGACATTATCGATCAAAAACTCAAGATAAATTGAGATAAGATTTCGCTTTTTCGAACGCAATTATTTTACAGAGATAAAATTGCGACAAGAACGAGGATAATCGCCAAAATTTTGACGATCCCAGCGATTTAATCGCCGAAAAATCTTAAAAAATTGCAACTTAATTTCAAAATATCGCGATATTTCCGTTGAAAAATGCTACTTGCATATGCTCGTCTGCCTTCTGATGCTAGATTATAATCACAATGATTGAAGATTTTAAAATCTGTCAAGCTTTTCATAGACTCACTTTATTTTTCTCCGCGTCTTCATTATTTTGGTGAACCTCTACAAGTACGGTTGTTGTGGTTGTCTCCATTTGTTGCGACACCATGCAAATTTCCGTCAACTACAGAAAAATAAAAATAAGTAAAATGTGTGTTATCATCGAGCACAAAAAGATTAAGACGAAGAAACAGTAGTAAGAAGAAGGAGAGGGAGATGGAGAAGAAGTAGAAGAAGACCAAGGAAAATAAGAACACGACGTAAAAGACGAAGAGAAGAAGAGAAAAGAAAGATCCTACCATACTGCCGTGCTAAGGAATAACGCCGTATGAACATTCGAGAGTTACCAAATTTTCTCCGATTAAATGTTTATTTGAGAGAAAAATTGCCGATATTTTTCCTTGAATTTTCATACTTTCTAGATCAAATAACGAACAAAATTACCGTAGAAATTGGATGAAAAATATTTACAATTTTTCATAAAAAATTAGCGATTTGTCAGAGGAAATTTGGCAACGCCGAAAGGCTCACCCGGCGTTTTTCCTCAGCACGGCAGCATAGGCGGGTCCAGACACCTCGAACGGAGAGGGAGGGGGGAAGGCAAATAGAGGGGAGTCTGGGGAGCTTCTCCCAAAAATTTTCGAAATTTTAAAGCATCTTTAAGCAGTTCGAGTCGATTTTGTCATGATTAATAACCAAATGTAAGCGTCCCTTCTTCTTCTTTCCTCTGTTCTTTCCTTATTGCTTTCTCTCTTCCCTTTGATCCCCTTCTCTCCGGGCGAACGGGTGAGGGGGGACGGCGTTTGCCCCCTACGCCCCCCCCCCGGATCCGCCTATGAATCCTGCTGCTTTATCTCGAAAACTTCACAGCCGTACCAATTTTTGGTCAAGTCATGGTGCTTAGAGTTTCGCGCATGACACCAGTGTAATCTTGAGTGCTAAATTTCGTTAAAATAACCGACAGAAAAATGTCATTTTCGCCCCCCCCCCC